CCATTTATTTCGGTGTGGGGTAAACACTTGACATGGATTCACCTTAGCCAGGAATCACCCCTTTTCGGTATGGGGCAGACACTAGATTTCATGTTAGCTCACATGATGTAGATTCATTTTGATTGGTGAATCACCTCTTTTCGCTGTGAGGAAGAGACTAGATTTATCGTTAGGTCGCATGATCTTAGTTCTAAAGATTACTACAAGAAAGCAAGCAAGAAAGAGTATGGAACATATGTTCAAAGTGAAAGTAAGAGCTTAAGAATATCAATATTTTGTTTGGATACCGATTAAGTTTTTCAGCAAATAATGGGCAAAGCCAAATAAAATTGGCTTATAATGACTTCTTATATTATGCCAATAAAGGGGAGTAAAATGTAAGGTCCAATCTATTCTTCATAACTTCCATAATATGAAAATGATGAAATAAGTAGCATGGCCAACAAATAGTGGCTCAGGAAATGTTCCTTCCCAATGAATACCGAATGTAATTAATAAGTTTTTGCAAGGACAGTGAAATCATTCCTTAGTCCTTGGATTAGTTACTTGATTCATTCTGTGTATAGGACTACAATGAATCATTGAATTTGTAAGTAAAATATAGGATCAAAGGAATCCTTTAACTACACAACAGGAAGAAGAAAAAGATTGAAAAATAAACTAAGTACAAAAGAGAGAGCTCTCGGGTTAGGGATAGCAAAATTTCAATTCTTCTCTCAAGTTGTTCTAAAATTATGTTGATGATACTAATGTCTTGTAATCACTAAGAAAATGAGTTGTGTGGTTTGAATGCATTTAAAATACATCATATCCATACGACAATTCACAACTAACAAATTAGGAAAGTCCAGTGACTTAAATTTTCAGGAATGGCATGTTATATAGGAAGAGCATTTCTTGATCATGCATAGACTTATGTGTATGTGTGCACACATATACTTTGAACAAGTTTGTACTAACCCTGTACGTTTACTATTTTTATAGGTCTAGGTCAGAGAGCAGATTGAAGGCTCATTGCAACGGTTTGGACTCAGCGATCCCTAGATCTTTTGGTAGATCCTCTCTAGTTCAAGGATGTAACTTTTATTTTCATAGCCTAGTATTTAGACATAGCTAGAGAATCTTGTTCCTAGTGTTTCTTTCAAATGTTTTCTTTTTCAAAGATTTTGTATTAAGGCAACTTATTATAATATATTAATCCTTTGTTCCAAATTGGTTGAATAATGATAGATGATTGTCTTTAATTTGGGCTTAGTATAATAGTAACTTATGCGAAAAGTATATGAAGTTTATGTACACTTCAATATGTTTAAAATTTTAAAATTTTCTGACAATTTCACTATATGAATGTAATGAAAACTAAGAAAAGGTTTGTCTGCGACCTCTGAGAGGTTAACGACGCCGGTTGCATTCGGATTCCAGAATCCGAGTTTGACAGTCTGACTTATAAGGGATCGTATGTAGACGGCCCAAAGTTGACAAAAATCTAATGCCAACAATAGGAAGAAGGACCTTAATTTTATGGTAGGTGATTTGGTTTATTTGAATATATCACCCATGAAAGGGGTGATGTGTTTTTGTAAAAAAGGGAAACTTAGTCCCCGGAATGTGGGGCCATATAAGGTTTTGAAATGCATCGGAAAGGTTGCCTATGATTTGAAGTTACCTATTTAGTTGGCTCCGGTCCATCCGACTTTCGTATGAAGAGGTTCTGACGTAGATCTTAGACAAGCAAGTGAAAAAGTTGATGAATAACGAAGTAGCTTCCGTAAAGGTTCTTTGGAAGAATCAACTTGTATAAAATGCTACTTGGGATGTCAAGGATGATAAGAATCATTATGATGCCTTATTGTGTTGAACATGGAGTGAATGTTTCCTCCTTTGATTTTTGGTGGTCATTATTGTTTTACAAAAAAATAAAATAAAAATAAAAATGAGTAAGTTTTGAATAATTAATTAATCTTATGATTTAAAAGAAATGAGTTTTCAAATTAACAGAATCGCCGCTTAATTTTTATTTAAAAAATCATGAAAAATGCTTAAGTTTTTCAAAAAGATTTAAGCAGATAAAATCTGTTTAAAAAAACTGGTTTGAAGTTCATTATACATTCTAAGAAGGTATTAGGCCCTCTAATGCTCACTAACTCACGTTTATTCGGTGATTTGATTAAAAATGACTTTGACTATAAAAACTTATCACTTTTGACTAAGTAAAAGAAACTTTTTTTTCTTTTATTTACTTTATATACCTATTTCTATTATATTTCCTTAAGGAGAAAAAAGAAAGAGGGGGGATTTCTTAAAGAGAAATAAATAAAAAGGTTGACAAGACTAATAATGAGAAGAAAGTTAAGCATGAAATATAAATATTTAAATTTAAATTTAAAATGAGAAACGACTGACTTTAGGAGCTAATTAAATTAAAACCAATTCACATAAAGGGTTAGTCGATACAATAACAATTAATAAGAGGGAAAGGGAGAGAAATATTTAATTTTGGCCTTTGACCCAAATTCCAAATCTTGATGCACCTGTCCTACTACTAAAAATACCCAAAACATGAGTTTAGGCCTATTTAGATCAGTATTCAGCTGCTGATTGTTTCCTTTTAGCCTTTGAGCCCAATTTTGCCTAGATATGAATGTATACGGATTTATAAAGCCTTTATACTAACTGTTTTGGGCTTTTCGAATGTCCAAAATTTTAATTTCCAGCCCTTTTTTGTGCCTTCAACTTGTATTTTCGAATTTGGACTCATATGCATATTTCTTCACCTGTATACCACTGCCTTCACCATGTATACTTGTGTATACAAATTTATATAGAAGATATACAACTCCTTTCGATTTTTTGGAGGTTTGCATTAGCTTCCCATTAACCGCCGAACACCAAAGGCTGACTCGATGAGACTCATGGATATGTAAGGAAGGCAGTATAAAAGACTCGGGAGGAGTTTCACATGCAAAACATAAAGTAAAATAAGATAATAGCATTTGAGGAAGGAAATAAAGTGATGAAAAAACACTAACATCTACCAGACAATATTAATAGAACAAAACTTGGACATTAATTTAAAGGGAAGTAGATGAAGCCTTTTAATCTTTGAATATGAATGATAAGCAGTTTAATGAATTAGGAGAAGAAGAGGAAACATAACTCCACAGTATTACATACATACAAATAATTTGAACATAATTTTAAGGAAAAGGGAAAGAATCGCAATGTGGACGAAAATAAAAAGTCTGTAGACAAATAAAATTCTTTTAGCCATTCTAGGAGCGAATAATAAAGGAATTATAGAGAACGAAATTGAAACATTAAGATACTTAAATCAATCTAAACTTAAAATTTCAGCATGTATGAGCCACTTTGAAAAAACACTAAGACAAGATTTAATGCATTTAACACACAGTGACCATGACTATCCGCACATAACTTAAATGAACATCAATAAATTTCAAGTTTTAGAGTCATAGACGTGGGAACTAAGAATCAACAAACCTTGAATAAAATTATCACAAGATTAAATGCACAACAGAGTAAGCACCAGAAGAGCGGCTAAGATAACGAGGTTAACTTGAACAAATTAGCACAAATCTATGCCCACCGATAAGAATCAGAACTAACTAACTTAAACTCGAAAATATGTGTCAAAAAAAGTATATCAGTGGAGTGATTCTTTTGACACATTAAAAGAAAAACAGCAAAACATGAATACCATTTCCACAAATAGAAACGCAACAAAATTTTGATGATAAAGAAGTAAAACAAGCTAACATTTGAAGCAACCACTTAAGTCATGAGCGAGAGAGAACTAAGAAAAGATTCAAACAAACATTAAATCACCTTAAAATTAAATACACACTACCAGTTGTTTTACTCGTAATCGAAAAAAATTATTTTTGTAAGTTTTTGACTTTTTAGAGAGTCTCCACTTAATTTTTGAAGAAAAATCAAGAAAATTGTGTTTTCAAAAGGCTTAAACAGAAAAGTTATTCTTAAAACTTCAAAGGGGTTCGGGAACTCAAATTTATATTTTAGGAAGGTCTTTAAGGCACCTAAAATATCCGCTTAATAAGGTTATCCGACAACTAACTTTGTATTTGGCTAAAATCTCTTAATTTTTAATATCACTTAGGAGGGTAAAGAATTAAAACATTAACTTATTATCTAAGTGAGTTATTTGCAAAATTATTGGTTTTTATGTTGATAAACCATTTGAGGCGTTTCCAGGGAGTTTGGAGTTTTCTTAACTTAAAACTAACACACACATAATGCAAGTAAATAAACAAGAAATATGAGAGAGGGAAAGAGATTGGGGTCCGAATCCGGGTTTAGTTCTCCTTGAACTGTTTTTTGACCCACCTGTTTTTGGCTTTTATCCCTTTTTGTTTTGGGCCTTTGACCCAATATTTTCCCATGTCCTAAATCTAGCAATACAATGATAATAAATAAATACAGAAATAAAAGGACAAAAAGGGATTAGGCCCAAAGACAACAAAATAGAAATATGCTTAAAATGAAATGGGCCTCCTAATCTCAACTTCGTCGACTATCTTCAATTTTTTAAACAGCGGGACATGTCCGTCAATTTTAAAGCTGGAAGACTCGATGGAGAAGTTGAGACTTTATGGATCTCTCTCGAGATGCAAAGACAAAAGAGGAGTCCTTGGGGAACTCGACTCAATTTCACATGCAACACAAATGATGACACGAATTAGGGTACAAAATAAAAAACTTTGAAAGATAACTTAAACAAAATAATTATCTAAAATAACTTTGATTTGGCCTTTGCATGAGCTGTTCTTATTTTTATACTAGATGGGGAAGGCTCGTGGCAAGCACGGGCCCAATAGTGAAAATATCAGTATTAATGAATCATTGATGATAATTTTCGCAGAAGAAAAGATAATGTGATAATGTTATATAGCATTAGAGATACTCAAAATATATGTACAACTAATACCATATTAACTAAGGTAATAAAATCAAAATATTTCTTTGACATATGAGATCAACATGTGATTGTTCACTTTCAGTTGCTGATCTTCTTCATCATTCCCAAAACCATAGCATAGGGAGTTGTTAGGGGTTCCTGAGAAAATTGTTAGTGTTAGTAAATTTAGAAAGTTGAGTTGTTAATGACAAAAATGAAACCGTTCAAAAAGTATATATGACAAATGTGGGATATAATATTACCATCAAAGATAAATAACGAAGGCTTCACAAAAAATTAACTGATTCATTTCCTGGACAAAAAGTTAACTGATTCATTTCATTCTCCCTATTGAGCAAACTTCAATCGACTGGGAATCCAAAAACTTCATTAAGCAAAAGTCACAAAATCAAGTGAGGAAGTTCCTGTAATTAGACAAATTAAGGTATGTTAAAAAGTGAAAATACAATATTCAAATTCATATCAGTTGGATGTGTCATTTCCTGTATGTAAATAGGCAATAACTCATGAGATACATGGCAGAAGTTGAGAAAGACTCAGTGTACAAACACAGGATTGCTTCAGATCCTCAGTATTTAGGGGTTAGAAATTCATATTTTCCAGTGAGGTAAGGGAATTCAGTGAAACTATACAAAGATGCTCATGTAAGTAATAATGTAAAGTTCACAGAAATTAAACTGGAAAATGGTACAAATTTTGAACACAATAAATGTTAGGAAGATATATGTTATGCTATTGTAGAAGCTCATCACTTGATTTAAATTGTTGGGTGATCTATTCTTTATAAGATTAAACTATAATTATTCAGAATTCTGAAGGCATATCAAAAACAAAGATGCAAACAGAGGCATGGTATGCAGTAGTTGTCTAACTTAAAAGTGCAGCAAAGTTTCCAAATACATAGCCAAACCATTGGCTCAAAGCCAAAAATGTAGCAAAATTTAGCTTGACACATAGAAACAATAAACATAAATTTGATCAGAAGTGTAACAAATAGTTTAGTCTAAAATTCAGCAGCAATATGATAAAAAATCAGCAACCCATGGTGTAAAATACATCAAAAAATGGAGCACAAAAAGATTAAAATGCAACAATGGTTCAACCTCAAAATGAGGTATCAAACCAGACAGGGCAGACACATTATCTCTATTTTTTTCCATTCCTATTTCAAGTAGTTCATGATTTATTAAACTAATTTACAATTTATCAATGACACTCTTAAATTTTATTAAATTTCAAATACTTGTAAATGTTTTGAACTGTTGCTTGATTTACATTGTTGGGTTGTCTGTTTTTTATAAGATTAAACTATAATTATTCAGAATTATGAAGGCATATCAAAAACAAAGATTTAAACAGAGGCATGGTATGCAGCAGTTGTCTAACTTAAAAGTGCAGCAAAGTTTCCAAATACATAGCCAAACCATTGGATCAAATATAGCCAAAAGTGTAGCAAAATTTAGCTTGACACATAGCAACCATAGACAGAAATTTGACCAGAAGTGTGACAAATAGTTTAGTCTAAAATTCAGCAGCAATATGATAAAAAATCAGCAACTCATGGTGTAAAATACATCAAAAAATGGAGCACAAAAAGATTAAAATGCAACAATGATTCAACCTCAAAATGAGGTATCAAACCATAGCAGCCAACCTCATCAAAGGCAATAATAAATTCTCATCAAAGACAGACAGGGCAGACACACTATCTCAATTTTTTTCCATTCCTGCTTCAAGTAGTTCATGATTTATTAAACTAATTTACAATTTATCAATGACACTCTTAAATTTTATTAATTACAAATACATGTAAATGTTTTGAACTGTTAATCACTGTGATTTATAGTTTGATTTTGAATAATAAATGTGTTAATCAGATGTAGACTGACCTTTTACAATTTTTTTGTTGGTGTGGGTGGTTCAAATTTCAGAGTTGCATTTGAAGAACCAACTGTAGTAGTTGTTTCTGTCACCTCCATCTCACTTATCTCCAAAGATCTTATCTTTTTGGAATTCCTATCAATAGTTGTTGGAGAAGTATGCTGCTTTTCCATGTAGGAAATAATGGAGTAAGTTGCTTGTGTATTGTTTGAGGTACCCCAAGATGACTTCCTTAGCTGAATTTGAAATAGTTTGTTGGACAAAATCTCATGGACATGATTAACATGCAATGATTGCCTCTGTAAATGTAAAGAGTGAGAAGAAACTCTTTGTGACAATAGATGTGTTGGTTGGAATAAGAGATCACCTTAGCACAGGTTATGTCAAATATGTCTTCCGCTGTCATGGAGAGTAGTTTTTCTCCCAGTTCACCAGAGAAAGATGCTGTAACTGTAGCAGTACCGTAGGTAAGATCAATTTGAAAATACACCTGAAATCATGATAAGTTAAAAATATGAGTGTTTGTTACTTTTCCTTTTTCTGACTTTTTTAGATTTGATTTAATGTGCTTTTTTCTTTTATTATTATAGGGACAATATATGATTCTTTCTTAATACATATCAATAATGTTTGTTGTTATGTGTGTGATCTATTAATTTTAGAGGTTGAAGGACAGCGTCCTACCAAAAAGTGTTTTCGATTTTGGTACTTACATAGTTAAAGTATTACTTAATGCTTCTGTATATGTTTAGGTCTTATATTATTTTTTCAAACCTATAATTGTAGTAAATGAAGATATCTTAATGTAAAACTATTTAGAACTACTAAGCAACTAATGTAAAGTTAATTTGGTATAAACTTGTCACTATTTTCTGTTATAAATGATACACATCAGTGAACATTGCCATATATACGGGTTATCAATAGCACATAATATGTATTCCTAAGTAGATATATCAATTGAACAAAGACGAAGGAGAAGGAGAAATACCGAGGAAGTAATGTTGTTTTCCGATTGCATTTTGGACAATGAAAATCCTTTCTATCTTTTGTGCGCTTCATTTGTTTGCATCCTGAGCATTCAAGTACACAAAACTCTTGCAATTCTTCTGATATGACCATTTCTGCTTCAAGATAGAATAGTCCCATCTGTTGGGAAATATCATATACATAATACATGTTGTGTTACTGATGAATAAATAAAATTTGTTTTTATTATTTAATAAATATGCAAACTCTTAAATTATCAACATTGATTTGTTTTCTTTAGCCCTATTGTTACAACAAATAGTTGGTTTAATAGGTTCTTTAAATGCAAATTAAAGCTAGAGAATAGTGATGGAATGTTAGTACCATTTGGTGAGTTCTACTGCCTGTGGGTAATTAGGAGCTACGCGTATTGTTGAATTGTACCTACTCTGCAGTGACAACCCTGTACGACAGAAAGCTTGCATAACGTTTTGTTATTATATAAATTCTGTTGGTAAAAAGTTCAATGCATGTACCTGGAAAAGCAGAGATTCCTATATTCCTGGCAATGATTACAATAAGATCAATTTCTTTTTCCATTTTTGCTTCGATTTCATTTCCTTCAATTTCTCCAAAATCCTCCTATAGAGTGAGGAGAAATTGATTTTTTCTAAATTACCATGATAACAACCAGATGATAAGTGATGGTACGATTAAGTAAACAATTTTATTGTTTACTTATTCAAAATATTTTCATTAAATGGGAATATATAAGGCAAAATGGGCTTACTGATTGTCACAAATGATAATTTCTCAACACTTATGATTACTGCGACCTGCGTATTTTTGAGGACTACAACGGAGAACGATTGCCAGTATATCTGTGTATATAATAAAGAATGAAATGTTGTAAGTGTGTGAATCAGTAAGCAGGTATATTTTACTGTTGTAAAAGCTAATAGGGTGGATATACCGATTTCAACAGCAGAATCAAGCATCATGTGAGGAATGCGGTCAAAGGTTGTGATATTCATCTTGGTTGGTCGTGGAAGTGGATTCTCAACTCCATTAGATGGTGTGATATGTTCAATTACTGTTTCTTTGTCAATAACCCAGTAAAATTTGTGTATCGGCTTGCCGTGTGAAGTTTGGGAGATTTTGACTCTTGCGGTAGAGATGAGATAGGTATTCATGAGTTTATGCATTTCTGCATACTGTTCAATTTCATCTTCATACAATACTGCCTTTATTTGGCATTCCTGAAAGTAAGAGTTGTAGAGATTTGAGGATAAGGTAAACTGTTTACTACGAGTAAAATAAAACAAAAAATATTCATATGAGGTGAATATTAAAAAAGGAGAATATTCATGAGATTAAATGTAATGAGCTCACTTGTTCATCTTCCAAAATCAAATTTTGGAATCTACATTTCTTGTCAGGGCTTTCTCTCGGGCGTTCGATTTCCACAATTTGAACTTTGCAAATCCAATCTTGTGTTGTTGATTCTATTTGATCGAGTTCAATCTTAGTACAATGTTTGTTAGAAATATTTAACCAAGCAGTAGTATCTGCAGGATAGCATCACTATTGAGTTAAAGTCCTTTCTTTTATGTGGTTTCATGAACATGAACAATTGAATTAGGAAGAACATGCAAGAACATAATGTCCTCCACATACTGAAAGTATATAATTTGTAATGAAAGCACAATAGGAATATTTGTAATGAAATTCAGAACATGCAAGAATATAATTATCCCTAACTCAGTGAAACATTAGAAAATATAATTTCCTCAAATCTGTCTGCTAGTAATAAAATTGAAATTTTAATTGAAAATAACAAGTTTAATTTTGTCCCATATTGATTTTCTCCTTTGATGACAACTAAAATCTGCAAGAAAATTGAAAATGGGAAGAGGGAAAACATGAAAAGGAGAAAAATACCTTAGAAAGAGAGCAATATTTTTTTATTCAGGAAAGGATGACAAGTTTGTGCTTTAATGTAATGATGTTGATGAATAATGTGTAATAATGTGTGTATATATATATATATATATATATATATATATATAATATATATATATTATCTATATATAAAAATATATACAATACAAAGTAGACACGTTATACTATATAAAAGTACAGGTGCCTTCTTTAAAATTGATAGATTTGGCAGCCAATGAGATTCTGCCAAAAAAGAGAAAAAGTTATTGGATTTGATAGTAAAATTTAATGATGTATGTCAGAAAAAGAAGTTATTACATTTGAAATTTATTTTGTTATTATTAGATATATAAATTTGGAAATTGATAAATATTGAGTAGAAAATAAAAATGGCAGAAATCACTTATCTTTTTTCAAGTATATGTATTGTGTATTTATCTTGAGTGATTGCTATCAAGTTGCCTTTTAGGATTTTTTGAGAATTTATTTGAGAATTAACAGTTATTGTAACTATATAAAAATAAACTGAAAACCAGTATATTATTTTTGAGGTAACAAAATGGTCGTGTAGCAAGTTTTAACTCCTGTCCAAGTTTAATTTTACAGTTGGTATGTATATATTACATAAAGCTTTCACGTCTATAAAAATCAATAATTTACTACTTGAGATAATAGATATCTTCTTACCTGGACATAACAAAATTAGTAAGACTTATTCTTTAAATTAGAAAGGACCACACAATTTGGTAGTGAACCAAGTCAGATATACTTGGTGATTGACATGTTTCAATTTGTCCAATGTTCTATTGAAGTTGTGACTGCATTCTTTAACAGTATGAGGTCTAAGTGTTGAAGCGAAAGGAAACCAAGAGAAAAGTAAAAATAGTTTTATATTCATTTAAGTACATAGCATGCAAATTCCCTGGAAACTAACTCACAAGCTAACTCACTATGAATTCTGTAATCTGAATAGAGCAGTTGCATATACATGTGAGAAAGAGATGAGTTATTTCTTCTATCAAATAACATTGATCATATTTCAATCTTGGATCATGATAGAACCAAACATTCATTCATGTTGAAGTAGTAATAATTTATAGTCTATGTGCAATAGTTGCCTTATAAGGATTTTTTATTATTGTAATAAGCGCATAAGATCATACCATGAATGAAACATATAAATATATAAAATACATATCAATTAATGAGCTATAAAATTTACTTTCTGTCATACAGCATGTAACGACCTATTTAGTCGTTTTGAGCAGCAGATTTTAATTCTGGAAAAACAGGCTGAGACGACGGAACCCACGACGGAACGTCATGGGCACGATGGACCGTCGAGGGTGTCTCGTCCCAAAACATTTTGAAATTCTAAAATTTGGGTGCTGAAATCGACTCTTTGAACTCTGTGACGGACCTGCAGGACGGACCGTCACAGGCACGACGAACCGTCATGATCCACCGTTTCAAAACACTTCAGCTCCTGAGAATTTGGTACAGGGAACGATTCTCTGAACGTCGTGACTTAAGTGCAGGATGGACCGTCATAGGTACGACGGGCCGTCACAGGCTCCTTAAGGAAATCGAGTATCTGACGAACCTGCATGACGGACCGTCGCAGGTGCGACGGGCCGTCATAGGTTGCGTAATCCCAGTCGGAGTCGGATTTGTGGTTAACTTTTAAAGGGGCGTTTTGGACTATTCCTGCTATAATTATATATTTCGTGGGTCTATATTAATAACTCAATTTCTTGGGGGATAAAAAAGGTAACCTTGAGTTAAATTGTGGGTTATTATTGTCATCTTTTACACTTAATTACATGTTAATTAGGGTAAAAGAAGGAGGGTTTGAATAAGAAAATAATAGAAAGAACAGAGGAGAAAGAGGAAAACGATTGAGAGAAGGAGAAAACGAAGAGGATAGCCATGATCTTGAGAAAATTGCTTGCTTGAATGGTTTTCATGCTTTCATAGTAAACTCTTAATAGAGAATGATATGTATTGGTAGTATTGTAAAACCCTGCTATGTGCTTAATTGTATGCATGCATGAACGTGATTATATAATTGTGATTATATTAAGCATGATAAAGTTATTGAATCCCAAATCTTGATAAAAACCTAATCTCTTTTTAATTATGATGCCTTGGTAAGGGAGAAGGCTTGATGAACTAAAGTAATGAGATTGATGATGCCTTGATAAGGGAGAAGGCTTGATGAGTTGATAGAATGAGATTAGGGGATCGGGTGTCACGAACCGACACGTAGATTTAGGGGATCGGGTGTCACGAACCGACACGTAGAATTAGGGGATCGGGTGTCACGAACCGACATGTAGATTTAGGGGATCGGGTGTCACGAACCGACACGTAGAATTAGGGGATCGGGTGTCACGAACCGACACGTAGAATTAGGGGATCGGGTGTCACGAACCGACACGTAGAATTAGGGGATCGGGTGTCACGAACCGACACGTAGATTTAGGGGATCGGGTGTCACGAACCGACATGTAGATTTAGGGGATCGGGTGTCATGAACCGACACATAGATTTAGGGGATCGGGTGTCACGAATCGACATATAGAATTAGGGGATCGGGTGTCACGAACCGACACATAGATTTAGGGGATCGGAGTGTCACGTACCGACACAAGAGGATTAATGAATATGAGGGAGCGGAGTGTCACGTACCGACACAAGAGAAATAAAGATAATGAATCTTGAAAGATGTTAATATACTCAATCTAATGAACATAATTCCCAAATGAGTATGGTATTGAGGCTTGAGTCCTCATGTGTGAACTTGACGGTGATTGTTGATGATATAGTACTTGTTGTTGCTACATGTTGAGTATCATAGTTGATTTTATGATATTACTTGGTATATATTGTTTTCTATTTTGAGTTGGCCGATGATATCTACTCAGTACCCGTGTTTTGTACTAACCCCTACTTTTATGTTTTCTTCTTGTGTATTTGTGGAGTGCAGCAAACGTGCCGTCATCTTCGACTCAACCGTAACCCTAGCCAGTCTTCATTACTCCGGATATCAGGGTGAGCTAATGCTTCTAGCTTGGACTGGATCTTCCTCTTCATGTCTTGATGCCTTGAAGTTCCGGCATGGACTAGCTTTTATTTGTTTTAGCTTTTTAGAATACTCTTAGATTAGTACTTTGATCATAGATGTTCTTGTGGTGATGACTTCCAGATTTTGGGGATAATAATATTTATTGATTTTATTAATGAGTTTAAGTCTTCCGCATTATTTTATGTTGATATTACATTGAAATGTTAAGGTTTAGATTGGTTGGTTCACTCACATAGGAGGGTAAGTGTGGGTGCCAGTCGCGGCCCGGATTTGGGTCGTGACAGAGCAGTAATAATGAACACAATTCCTGAACGAATATATTCATTCTAGACCTATATCCCAACCTTATTGAAGAAGTGATTATCACAACATTTTAAGAAGTTAGACATATTTCATTTGGTAAAACATGAATTATCAAATAATGAGCACTATTGTGGCTATGAAGGAACTTACTATTTCAAGACTAAGCTCCATCGTTGTTGGGCGTAAATAGTGTGAAGTTCTGAGTATGGGCAAACAGATAATGTAACATGTGGAATTGATTTTGAGAAAAGACAGATTCCTGCAAAAATCAAGTAAAATCATTATGCAGTCAAAATCTCAATGGTTAATCAACCATTAAGTGCTAACTCATTAGAAGGAAAAGGAGGATCGTTTCCAAATCGCATAAAAACATGTACAAGTTCTCTTTATTTTTAGTAAAACATGTGCAAATTCAGAAAAACCAGTTCAAAAAATAGAGGAAGTTACAATAGAAATTTAATAATTACAGCATAGTAAAGCAAACAAAACATTCATGTAAAGTGGTTACCTCATTTTTAGCAGCAACATCTTTCTCACCACCTTGAACTGGCTTCAATGCAAGTTTAAGGTAGTCCTGCGGAGTTATTTTGCGGTTGTCCTTGACCCAATCCAAATAAAAATCCTTTTGCAGAAAAGAAAAATGTATTTTAATAGTTTCATAACCAAGAACAGAAGAAAATCTACAGTGATAATAAACAAATTGTAAATTACTCTAGGCAACCAAATGAAGACTGGGGAGAACTGCCTAAGCTTAGAAGCACTGGCCTTTCCTCCAGAGGCTCTAACACGAATATGCCTAGTCATTTCAGTGACAAGAGAGAGGCAGTCAAGCGCAACTTCATCGATACCTCCCATCTAAATTACAGGATTAAAGAGATTATCAGGACAACTAACAAACAAACTGACTGTAGCAACAAGGAAATTAACTGAATCCTGAGGCAGAAGGGTTGAAAATCGCATATCAAAAGAAGCAAACGAAATCCAAGTTTCAGTGCTCCTAACCTGGTTATATACAAACATACTTGAAAGAAGGACTGCCAGGGAGAATATCTTTGTGCTATATGTACCCTGTCAAAAAGCAAAAAAAAACAGAAATTTTTTGAGACAACAATAAAACAAAAATTTATAAAAGGCAAAAGTCAGTGACAGGAAGGATAGAAAGGACAGAGGAAAAAACAAGGCATGTTCTGGAGTTATAGAGCTAGTTCCTTTAGTTTGTGAAAAGTTTAGCTATACAAAGGTATGACAATGTAATATATAAACATATAGCATGTTCTAGGTTAGTATCCTCCTTTAGAAAACCAATAATGTTAAAAGGGTGAAAACTAACCGTTTGATCATAAGCATCAATTCCTTCTGTGTCCAGCAGTAATAAGTTGTATTCTATTCCATCAAGAGTTGTTACGACCCAAATCGGGTTGCGACTGGCACCAACACTTACCCTCCTATATGAGCGAACCAACCAATCTAAACCTTAACATTTCAATGTAATAACAACAGAAAATAATGCGGAAGACTTAAACTCATTAATAAAACCAATTCAATAACTATCAATATTCAACATCTATTATTCCCAAAACCTGGAAGTCATCATCACAAGAACATCTACAATCAAATGACTAAACTAAGAGTATTCTAAAAGCTAAAAATACATAAGAAGCTAGTCCATGCCGGAAGTTCAAGGCATCAAGACTTGAAGAAGAAGATCCAGTCCAAGCTAGAAGCATTAGCTCATCCTGAATTTCTGATGTAGTAAGACTGGCTTAAATTACTGTTGAGTTGAAGACGATGGCACATTTTGCTGTACTCCACAAATAAACAAGAAGAAGACATAAAAGTAGGGGTCAGTACAAAACACGGGTACTGAGTAGATATCATCGGCCAACTCAAAATAGGGAACAGTATATATCAATATTATTGTAAATCAACTATAAAACTCAACATGTAGCCACAACAAGTATTATAATCATCAATAAGTACCATCAAGTTCATCCATGAGGGCTCAAGCCTCAACACCATACTCATTTGGGAATTATGTTCGTTAGATTGAGTATATTAACATCTTTCAAGATTCATTATCTTTAATTCTCTTTTGTCGGTACGTGACACTCCGATCCCTCATATTCATTATTCCTCTTGTGTAGGTACGTGACACTCCGATCCCCTATATCTACGTGTCAGTTCGTGACACCCGATCCCCTAATTCTACGTGTCGGTTCGTGACATCCGATCCCCTAATTCTACGTGTCGATTCGTGACACCCGATCCCCTAATTCTACGTGTCGGTTCGTGACACCCGATCCCCTAATTCTACGTGTCGGTTCATGACACCCGATCCCCTAATTCTACGTGTCGGTTCGTGACACCCGATCCCCTAATTATACGTGTCGGTTCGTGACACCCGATCCCCTAATTCTACGTGTCGGTTCGTGACACCCAATCCCCTAATTCATTCTGTAAATCATCAGGCCTTCTCTATACCAAGGCATCATCAATCCCATTACTTTTATTCATCAAGCCTTCTTCTATACCAAGGCATCATCAATCCCATTACTTTAATTCATCAAGCCTTCTTCTATACCAAGGCATCATCATTAATAATGTATATTAAAGTTTCCTTTCAAGATTTGGGATTCAATATTTTCATCATGCTTATCTTATCACAATCACATAATCATATTCACGCAAACACACAATTAAGCATATAGTAGGGTTTACAATACTACCAATACATATCATTCTCTATTAAGAGTTTACTATGAAAGCATGAAAACCATAACCTACCTCCACCGAAGAATTGGAATCAACAAGCAATCTCCCAAGCTTTGATGTTTTCCTCTTCTTCTTGATCGTTTCTCTCTCTCCCTCAATCGATCAATCTATCTCTCTCTTTTCTTTTCTCTTTTCTTATTCAAAACCCTCTTTCTTTTACCCCAAATTAATATATAATTAAGAATAAAAGATGGCAATAATACCCCACTAATTAACTTAGGGTTACCTCTTTTAACCCCCAAGAATTTGAGTTATTAATATAAACCCACGAAATCTATAATTAAGGAAAGAATAGTCCCAAACGTCCCTTAAAACGTGTAAGGAAATCCGATTCTGCCTGGGATTTGCGCAACCTGTGACGGGCCGTCGTGCCTGCGACGGTCCGTCCTGCAGGTCGTCGCATAGTTTAGAGACCCAAATTTCCACCAAGGGTCTGTGACGGTCCGTCACACCTGTGACGGTCCGTCCTTTCATTCCGCCACAAAGTTCAGAGAGTCGATTTTTAGTACCCAATTTCAGATTTTCTAAGTGTTTTGAAACGAGACCCTGCGACGGTCCGTCGTGACCACGACGGTTCTGCCTGTTTTTCCAGAAATAAAGTCTGCTGCTCAAAACGACTAAACGGGTCGTTACATTAGATACCAATTTACCCATCGTTCGTCCCCGAACTATCAAAAGAAGGAAAACCAGGGCGAAAAGGAGTACCTGAATCTTTAAACAGATGTGGGTATCTTTCTTGCATATCTTCCTCCTTCTCCCAAGTGGTTTCTTCAACCGGTCGATTCTTCCATTGCACTTTGATGGATGCAATCTCTCTTGACCTCAACTTGCGAACTTCTCTATCTAAGATAGCAACAGGCTCCTCCTCATAAGACAAGTTCTCATCAACCAAAACTGAATCCCAACGGATAATGTAGTTTCCATCCCCATGGTATCTTTTCATCATCGACACATGGAATACCGGATGCACTCAGGACAGCCCTGGAGGCAAGGGTAAATCATAAGCCACCTCTCATACTCGCTTAAGTACTTCAAATGGTCCAATGTACCTTGGACTTAGTTTACCCCTTTTTCCAAACCGCATCACCCCTTTCATGGGTGAAACTTTCAACAAGACTTGTTCACCTTCCATGAACTCTAAGTCTCTAACCTTTCGATCTACATATTCTTTTTGTCTACTTTGCGCCGCTAGAAGCTTTTCTTGAATAGACCTCACTTTTTCCATCGAATCCCTTAAGAGATCAGTACCCCAAGGTCTGACCTAGAACGCATCAAACCAACCAATGGGAGACCTACATCTCCTACCATACAATGCTTCAATTGGCGCCATATCAATGCTTGAGTGATAGCTGTTATTGTATGAAAACTCCGCAAAGGGTAAGAAGCTATCCCAATGGCCACCAAATTCTATCACACACGCACGAAGCATATCCTCCAACACTTGAATAGTTCGCTCAGACTGACCATCGGTTTGGGGATGGAACGCGGTACTAAGGTCCAACCTAGTACCCAATTCCGCATGCAATGTTTTCCAAAACTTAGAAGTAAACTGCGTACCTCTATCTGATATGATGGATAGTGGAACACCATGCAATCGAACGATTTCTGAGATATAGATCTTGGCTAACTTCTCGGCATTGTAAGTCACCTTAACTGGAATAAAATCAGCAGATTTAGTTAACCTATCAACAATCACCCAAATGGAGTCATACTTACCCATTGTCTTCGGAAGACCAACCACAAAATCCATTGCAATTCTTTCCCACTTCCATTCTGGAATGGGCATTCTCTGAAGTGTTCCTCCGGGCCTTTGGTGTTCATACTTTACTTGTTGGCAGTTTGGACATTTGGCAATAAAATCCACAGTGTCACGCTTCATTCTACTCCACCAAAATTGTTGCTTTAGGTCACGATACATCTTGGTTGCGCCCGGATGTATAGAATACCTTGAACTATGAGCCTCTGTCAGAATAGTGTTGATCAAACCATCGACGCGGGGTACACATACCCTTCCCTTGATTCTCAAAACACCTTCCTCATCGATTTGTTCTTCCTTAGCCTCTCCTCGCAATACCTTATCTTGGATTCTGCACAGTTTCTCATCATCGAACTGTCTTCCCTTAATTTTGTCAAGAAAGGAAGATCTTGCCTCCACCGAAGCCAGCAATCCTCCCTTCTCATTTACTTCTAATGTCATCAAGTCATTTGCTAGAGTTTGAACCTCTCTAGCCAATGGGCGTCTAGAAGCTTGCAAGTGAGCTAGACTTCCCATGCTTCCCGCCTTCCTACTTAAAGCATCAGCTACAACATTCGCCTTCCCCGGATGATACAAGATAGTGATATCGTAGTCCTTTAGTAACTCCATCCATCTCCTCTGTCTTAAGTTCAAATCTTTCTGAGTAAAGACATACTGAAGGCTACGATGATCCGTGTAGACCTCACACTTAACCCCATATAAATAGTGTCTCCATTGTTTTAATGCAAACACTACCGCGGCCAATTCCAAATCATGAGTGGGATAGTTACGTTCATGCACTTTTAATTGTCTTGAAGCATAAGCAATCACACTCTTCTCTTGCATTAGTACTGCACCCAAACAAGAATAGGATGCATCATAATAAACAATGAAGTTCTTACCCTCTACTGGCAAGGTGAGAATGGGTGCGGTAGTCAACAAAGTCTTGAGCTTCTGAAAGCTTTCTTCACATTCATCCGACCATACAAATGGGACATTCTGCTTAGTCAAGTTCGTCAATTGGGAAGCGATAGAAGAGAATCCCTTGACGAATCGGCGGTAGTAGCTAGCTAACCCAACAAAGCTCCTTATTTCTGACACATTATTAGGTCTTACCCAATTCTTCACTGTCTCAATCTTAGAAGGATCCACCATCACTTCATCCTTAGAAACCACGTTCCCCAAGAAGGACACTGCATCTAGCCAAAACTCACACTTAGATAACTTGGCATAAAGCTTTTTCTCCCTCAACATTTCCAATACCATTCTCAAATGCTCTTCATGTTCCTTGTTGCTCTTTGAGTATACCAATATATCATCAATAAATACGATCACGAAGAGGTCCAAATATGGCTTAAAAATCCCGTTCATCAAGCTCATGAATGCAGCAGGGGCATTCGTAAGACCAAAAGACATCACTACAAATTTATAATGCCCATACCTTGTTCGAAAAGCAGTCTTTGGCACATCCGTTGCCCGTATTTTCAACTGATGATAACCGGATCTCAAGTCAATCTTAGAGAAGACACAAGCACCTTGTAACTGATCGAACAAGTCATCAATGCGAGGAAGAGGATACTTGTTCTTTATGGTTACCTTATTCAGTTGTCTGTAGTCTATGCACATTCGAAAACTCCCATCCTTCTTCTTCACAAACAAAACCGTAGCACCCCAAAGAGATGCACTTGGTCTAATGAAGCATTTGCTCAACAACTCTTGAAGTTGGGCTTTTCACTCCCTCTACCTCTATCACGAAGTCCACCACTTCTTGAAAGGATTTCGCTGTAGCCGCTACCTATAAGGCTGAAATCCGCAACTCTGATCTCAACCCCTTCACAAAACGGCGAATCCGCTCTTGTGGACTGAAACAAAGTTGGGTGGCATACCTTGATAATGCACGAAACTTAGCCTCATATGCAGTAACCGACATCCTACCTTGCTCTAGGCTCAGGAACTCATCCCTTTTCCTATCCCTCAAGGTTCGGGGGATATACTTCTCCATGAACAAGCTAGAGAATGAGGCCCAAGTCATAGGTGGTGCCTCTGTTGGTTGACACTCAACATGTGACCGCCACCACATTTTGGTGTTCCCTTCAAACTGATAAGTCACAAACTCAACACCAAACCGTTCTACTATACCCATCTTGTGTAGTAGCTCATGACAGTCAACCAGAAAATCATAGGCATCCTCAGATTCAGCAACCTTGAAGACTGGAGATTTCAACTTCAAGAACTTACTGAAAAGTTCATGTTGATCATTTGTCATTATAGGCCTTGTAGTCAGACGAGGAAACGTGCCTATTTCCAATGGAACATCCATGCGGGGAGCCGCAACAGTTGACTGTTGTACTTCTGGACCCTGAGGTGCTGGTGCAGAAAACACTGGAGGTGTTTGACCTTGATCAGATAACCCACTAAGATAAGCAAGAACCTGATTTATCATCTCTGGGGTAGGTTGGGGTGGTAGTTCCTCATTCTGCACTTGCTCAGTTTCCCCTTCCTCACCCTCTCTTACTACTTCTTCAGTCGGTGGACGAGTCACCGCCCTAGTATCAGATGGGCTAGGTGCTTGTCCTCTTCCTCTAGAGGACGTCCTCCCACGACCTCTACCACGGCCTCTTGCTGCTACTCTTCCTCGAGCCACAGCCCTTGTGGCTGGCTCAGACGCTTCTTGTCTTGCCGATGTTAGTGTTGGCGCAGTCGTTGCTCTAGTTCTAACCATCCGCGAAAGAGAGTGAAGATGGTCAGATACTAATTCGTATTACCTAGATACCAATTGGACTCAAGTAGTAGCACGAAAGAAAGAATGAAAGAGTGAAATTTTCCTAAAGTCTTATAGCCTCTCAAAGAAAAGTAAAGGCGTCCCCCTACCGTTCCTTAAGACTCTACTAGACCTTTTCTTGTGTGATGAGACCAACGAACCTAATGCTCTAATACCAAGTTTGTCACGACCCAAACCGGGTTGCGACTGGTACCCACACTTACCCTCCTATGTGAGCGAACCAACCAATCTAAACCTTAACATTTCAATGTAATAACAACAGAAAATAATGCGGAAGACTTAAACTCATTAATAAAACCAATTCAATAACTATCAATATTCAACATCTATTATTCCCAAAACTTGGAAGTCATCATCACAAGAACATCTACAATCAAATGACTAAACTAAGAGTATTCTAAAAGCTAAAAATACATAAGAAGCTAGTCCATGCCGGAAGTTCAAGGCATCAAGACTTGAAGAAGAAGATCCAGTCCAAGCTAGAAGCATTAGCTCACCCTGAATTTCCGATGTAGTAAGACTGGCATGAATTACTATTGAGTTGAAGACGATGGCACGTTTTGCTGTACTCCACAAATAAACAAGAAGAAAACATAAAAGTAGGGGTCAGTACAAAACACGGGTACTGAGTAGATATCATCGGCCAACTCAAAATAGGGAACAATATATATCAATATTATCGTAAATCAACTATAAAACTCAACATGTAGCCACAACAAGTATTATAATCATCAATAAGTACCATCAAGTTCATCCATGAGGGCTCAAGCCTCAACACCTTACTCATTTGGGAATTATGTTCGTTAGATTGAGTATATTAACATCTTTCAAGATTCATTATCTTTAATTCGCTTGTGTCGGTACGTGACACTCCGATCCCTCATATTCATTATTCCTCTTGTGTCGGTACGTGACACTCCGATCCCCTATATCTACATGTCCGTTCGTGACACCCGATCCCCTAATTCTACGTGTCAGTTAGTGACACCTGATCCCCTAATTCTACGTGTCGGTTCGTGACACCCGATCCCCTAATTCTACGTGTCGGTTCGTGACACCCGATCCCCTAATTCTACATGTTGGTTCGTGACACCCGATCCCCTAATTCTACGTGTCGGTTCGTGACACCTGATCCCCTAATTCTACGTGTCGGTTCGTGACACCCAATCCCCTAATTCATTCTGTAAATCATCAGGCCTTCTCTATACCAAGGCATCATCAATCCCATTACTTTAATTCATCAAGCCTTCTTCTATACCAAGGCATCATCAATCCCAATACTTTAATTCATCAAGCCTTCTTCTATACCAAGGCATCATCATTAATAATGTATATTAAAGTTTCCTTTCAAGATTTGGGATTCAATATTTTCATCATGCTTATCTTATTACAATCACATAATCATATTCACGCAAACATACAATTAAACATATAGTAGGGTTTACAATACTACCAATACATATCATTCTCTATTAAGAGTTTACTATGAAAGCATGAAAACCATAACCTACCTCCACTGAAGAATTGGAATCAACAAGCAATCTCCCAAGCTTTGATGTTTTCCTCTTCTTCTCGATCGTTTCTCTCTCTCCCTCAATCGATCAATCTATCTCTCTCTTTTCTTTTCTCTTTTCTTATTCAAAACCCTCTTTCTTTTACCCCAAATTAACATATAATTAAGAATAAAAGATGGCAATAATGCCCCACTAATTAACTTAGGGTTACCTCTTTTAACCCCCAAGAATTTGAGTTATTAATATAAACCCACGAAATCTATAATTAAGGAAAGAATAGTCCCAAACGTCCCTTAAAACGTGTAAGGAAATCCGATTCTGCCTGGGATTTGCGCAACCTGTGACGGGCCGTCGTGCCTGCGACGGTCCGTCCTGCAGGTCATCGCATAGTTTAGAGACCCAAATTTCCACCAAGGGTCTGTGACGGTCCGTCACACCTGTGACGGTCCGTCCTGCCATTCCGTCACAAAGTTCAGAGAGTCGATTTTTAGTACCCAATTTCAGATTTTCTAAGTGTTTTGAAACGAGACCCTGCGACGGTCCGTCGTGACCATGACGGTCCGTCGTAGGGTCCGTTGCTTCTGCCAGTTTTTCCAGAAATAAAGTCTGCTGCTCAAAACGACTAAACGGGTCGTTACATTCTCCTTAAAGGTGAACTCCACAACCAAATACCTTTTGTGCATGCCGATGAGTTGCAGCACTTGAAAACCGCTACTCCTGCGAAGAAGCTATTGGGCATACAACAGGCTCTCAGCTACATATTTTCGGTAATGTAAGAAGCGGCACTAAGTTACACATGATAATTTACATGGGAAAGTATACAACTATAAGTTAATAATAATAAAGATAATTGTGATGTCGTTGCAATAGACCTAGTTAATTACATAAATCAATGGAGTTTCTACAAGAACAATATCAACTGTACTATAGCTTTGACTCATAATTCGACTGTGATTGATGTATGAAAAGTACAAGAAACATTCTTTACATAGAGGATGACAAGTTCATTGCAAAAGGAAAAGAAAATAAAGAAATTACAGAAGCAACACAAAGGAAACTGAACAATGCTGAATGGTCTCCCCTCTAACATATAATTCCTTCAACTTTCCAAAACATAAAAGTAGATAAATCAGGAGTTGATACTTGATTCACAAAAGGTTTCAGATTTCTGCTTCTCAAAATTGCAAATCAGAGTAGCCATCTTCCATCTGAGGCGTAAACCCGTAAATATAGGAACTATATGCTTCCATATATGGTGAACTCCAGTTGAAAGTTGAAATCCTCCAAAACATAGATTCTAATTTATCCATCATTTTATCATGATTCGTCTCTCTTTTGATCCTCAGAACAAATGTATTTTTTTTTGACATCGAGTATAATCGATACCTTCCCAAAATTATAAATACATGAAATTCTAAGACTATAGACAACCAATGATGATTTTCACATCCACAAGAGAATGAAAGAGGAAAAGAAAAGATACATTACGCAATAAAGGATATCTTGTACATGATTTCTACTACTTCAATTAGAAAAATAAAATGAAAAAGAGCTCACTCAACATTGTGTTTTAAATTGATGTCCAGCTTGGTGAAACTAAAAAATCATTGAAAATAAGAAGGGAGGCTTCAGAAAGTACGATACCTATATACCATCCATAAGTGTTCAGTGCATCTAATGCTTCAGGTGTTGAATTCATTGGGGTAACTGTGTAGCAAGAAGACATAGAAGGTGAAAAATCTCAATGTAAAAGAGAGTAAAGAATAAGAAAAACAAATCAAGATTTCTTCATCAGTGAATGTAACATTTGAAATGAAGCATTAACATTATTTTAAGACATTGAAGAAAAGAGACCTTGAATCATGAATTCACAATCATACATATAATTATATGGCATCTTCATTTTACGTTTTAAGAAATAGAGAGGCAATAATGAAAAAACACTGTATAAATCTGAAGAATGAGATTTTTGAAATGTGTACCTGAGTTAGTTGTTATTGAATCATGTCACCTCATGGCAAGTGTTACAAATGGAAAATGGGAAAAAATCCTAATGAGAGATTTTAATCTTGAAATTTCTCTACTCTCTTAGGAGAATACCACTACAACTGCGAGGTAGAGAGGCTCAATATTAGCCCACTTAACTTGTCATGATAAAAGACGACAAATATACTATATAATTAAGTAGTAATGTAGTATTATACCCAATATAATACTTCACCAAGATGGAAAATATAACAGAGAGATGCAATGTAGGAACTAACAATAGTAAGGTACATAATTTTGCATTATACTATAGAATGTCATGACAATTAGGAATGATTTTTTTCAAAAAAAATTATTCACCAACTTATTTTCATTGTAATTTAATAATTGTAATCCTAATCAAACTTAAGCTTTATCAAATTTTGAATCGTCCAATGGAAATGTCAAATGAACTGGCTGTAGAAATATTTCACTTAAACAGTTTTAAATCTTCGTTATAAGTTATATAAAGGAATCAACTATGAAAATCATAATCCTAAAAACATAAGATAAAATGAGGGGGTAGGTTGAAGTAAAACGTAAACCTAAAGTGTAAACTGTAAAATGTAATCAGCAAATTGCTAAGAAAATAGATCCAGCGACCCACACAAAAGTGAAGAAATAACGGACAATACTTCTTTTGTCTTTCTCAGCGTCATAAAAAGATGTTAAAACAGTTGAAATTTTTTAAAAAATAGCGTCAAACATATTAAAATGAGGAAAAATCATAGCAGAAGCAAGAGAAGAAGGAGAAGCTGACAACGCAGATTTTTCAAGTTTATATAGTACACTAACAACATCATTAAATAAAAATAATCCAAAAGAGCGAAGAAAAAAAGCCCAAATAAACTCAGCAAAACATATATGTTAAATGTTGGAACACTGAAGAAGAAACATATAGCAACCATTGAGTGAAATCTGGTGAAAAAACAGAAAAAACAGCGGCTCAAAATACAACACAAAAAAAGAATCAGCGAAAGGCTAAAATTGAATAGATATTCAACATCAAAATGAGATGCGAGAAGTTAAATAATAAACAAACAGAGAAGAAAAGCAAGAAAATTGACTGATCAGTGAAAAAAGTTAAGAGCATTAGTTGGTTTAATGTAATGACTGGAAATTTTGATTACCTCATCATCACTTATTTGCACTTGTATAATCTGAAATAAGAAAATTTGAAGCATTAAGAGGTAGTTCTTCTCTGTCATTTCCTTCATCTAGAACTACAAAAATAGTTACCCTTATAGGGAAAGTTGTTGCTGCAATGTTAGTATTTAGGTTAGTGAAAATCAACAATTTCAAATTTGAGTAATTGGACAGGAACAATTTGAATTGAAAGATGAAATTTAAAACTTCAAATGTTGAAGTGATATGATTGCAGTGTAACTTGTAGTTAGCTTTAAAAACAAATGAAGTAAAGGAATCCAAAATTTCACAACATCTAGCATAAGGATGCTTACTTGTTGCACTTATTACTTTTAAAAGTATCATGACAATGCTTTTCGAATGATTTCGTCATAAACTACATTATATGTAGAATGACCATCTGTGTCCTGTGCAGTTGGTGGACGTATTAACATTTTTACATTGTCTGAACATTTTGCTCGAGATAAAGCAACATAAAGTTGTCCATGTGAAAAAACTGGTTCACGCAAATATATTCCAACAAAATCTAATGTTTGACCTTGAGCTTTGTTTATAGTCATAGCAAAACATAATCTTATCGGAAATTGTATTATTTTGAAGGGAACTGGATGTTTCTCATCTTGTGATGCTAGTAATGGTATCTTTGGAATAAAGACATGTTTATCTTTAAAATCACCACTGCAAATAGTAGCACTAATAACATTTGACTTAAAATCATGACATATCAATCGTGTACCATTGCATAAACCTTCAGTAGGATTTAGGTTTCTTAATTATATAACTGGACAATTTTTTTTCAAAGTTAATCTATAAGGTGGTAAGTTAGCAGGATGTAAGGTATGCAAAAAATCTTCAAATTGGCATTGATCATTTGGTTCTATAGTTTCATCAATAGCCGTATATACTGTAGCATCATCGGGAAATCGATGTATAAGCATATCATTTATTTCATCAACAAAATCATTTTTTGTTGTCAAAATAATACGGGAATTCATAAAAGGTGGATTACAATAGAATGTACGCAAATTAGGATAAGTAACATTAAATAAAATATTTAAAGATTCTATTTCATCTGTAAAGGGAATGATAAAATTATTGGGAATTTCAATTTTGTTGCAATTGTTAGTTTTTTCTTGCCCATTTCCAATTCCCATTAAATATGCACAAAATGCTGGATCTTTTTTTCGCACGCATGTTTTCAGATAAGGACAATTTTTCAAGATGATTCCAAATACGGGAGTATAATAAACTTTGATTTATAAAGTCTTCTTTTTTTACACTAAGAACAACAGGAAGTGTTTGTCTAAAGCCCCCCCCCCCAAAACTACTACTTTTCCACCAAACAGTGCTCTTGTATTCATAAGATCTTTTAGAAGTGTATCAAGAGCTTCAATCATGTTTTTTTTTGCCATTGAGACTTCATCCCAAACAATTAGTTTTGAATCTCGAATTAGAATCGCTAACGAACTTTGTTTTTTAATATTGCAAGTGAAATTGTCATCGATGTCAACAGGAATTTTAATACGTGAATGAGCTGTTCGTCCTCCCGGAAGTATTGAAGCTGCCACACCAGAACTTGCAGTTGCCAAAGCTATGAATCCTTTTGTTCTTACAACAGCCAACAAAGCTCGATATAGAAATGTTTTTCCAGTTCCCCCAGGACCATCAATGAAAAAAGCTCCTAATTTATTAGAATATACTCTTTCAAGAAATATGTTATATATTCTTTTTTGTTCAATATTTAATTTGCTTTGTAGAAGTATATCTTCTTCAGACACTATTATATTTCTTTCAAAATAAATTTCTTTTGCATCATTAGTTGTTCTAGAAGAGCTAAGATTTCCAAATATATCTTTGAATTCATTTATGTTATGTCCCATTGAAAGTAGAACTTCATTGATATGATTTAAAACTAAGAGTTGAATATCATTTTTTGTAACATTTGGAATTGTTTTAAAATCCTCTTACATAGAGTCTTCGTATTTTTTCCAAAGATCTATTGGGTTACCAGGGTTAGAATAAACTAATAATGTTGCAAATAGTCTTCTTAAACTATAAGGCATTTGATAGCAGAGTGCTTCAGACATACAATCAATTATGTTGTTATTAGAACGTAATAAGCCTCTTTTTTCTGCAGCTTCTCTAAATGTAGTGTAGCATCTTTCATTCATTGTACGAAGATCTTCGTAAGATGTTGGTCTTCTTACATTCATTAGAAGCAACCTAAGATAATATCTTTCTCCTTCGGTTGGATGACATGTGACAATACGCCCGATAGTAAGTTGTTGTTTTCGATGCGAGCACATTTTGTATGATGATGACCATACAATGTGTTGAGGAAACTCTTTATACAGTAAATTCAGATTTATAGCATCGTTATTGATTTTGTTCATAAGAAAGAATTTTGTTAACATCGTTTTTTTAATGATTGGATTGTTTATTATTTGATCGACAGTTTGGTTATTTTTGAAAGAAACAAATTGTTGTCCATCAAGATGCAATTGCAACTGGCAAACACTTGGAGTCATTTCACTTATCGCAAAAGCAAGCAGACGCCATGTAGCCTCCGTGGAGAAACCCATCTAGCAGAATGGTATTCTTTTATTTCATCTATTTCTATGTTAGTATCATTATTATTTACAGAAAATGCAATTTTATCATGTCCTTTGCAAATATATTTGTAAATGTATTTGACGGCCTTAATGTCAGAACATATTTCAACATTCATATGACAACCAAATTTCTTCAGTAAATACGGATTGTACGGAACAATCCAAGAATTATTAATGTTGTGTTCTCTAACTTGGATTGGTGTGATCATTTTTGGTCTTTCGTAAAGGGGATATGAATTCTTTCCTTTGGTTGTTTGTTTAGTAAGTTGTTTTGGATATTTGAATTTACATTTTCCTTCTTTTTGCATGCATGAATTTGAAGGATTTAAACATCCACAGGGACCATGAGTCATATGTTTGGTCACAAGTTTGTATAGATCATGATCAATATGGGGATCAGGTAGTTCAGCACATACAATTTTATCATATGCTTCTTGTGTTAACAATTTATATCCATCCATAAGAATAATTAGAAGATGGGCATGGGGAAGACCCCTTTTTTGAAACTCAACTGTATACATTAATGCTGCAACCTTTCCAAATATGTTTCTTTTTTGAATATCAGTTTTAATTTCTTCTACTTTTGCTCTGAATACTCTAAATCAGGTCTATTTTGAACTTCTTCCATTGGTTGTAAATGGTCTTGTATTATAGGCCAAGAAAGATTGCAAGTCATCGTTAAAAATATGTCAGGTTTTCCAAAATGTTGTACCAAAGCAATGGCATCCATATATCTTCGACGCATATCTCTTGGACCTCCAATGAAACTACCAGGAAGAAATTTTTGTCTCCCAATATTGGAAGCATCTCTTTCTCCTTGCCTTAATAAATCAATGATTCCTTGGAAGGCTTCAACTCTAAATAGATCTTGATTAAATAAGATAAAATCTAATCTTTGTGTCTCTAGTTTTATATATTGGTCAACTATGTATTGTTGAAATACCCTTCTAGAATGTAAAGTTTCATTTGGTTCTTCATCTCTTATTTGAATTTTATAACAATAATATTCACGAAGGGAAACAGTTTCTCTTTTTCTCAATCCTTTTGATAAAACTTTAGATTCCATGTGAAGGACTCCATCAATAGAAGTGATGTTGATTATACTTGGTAGCTGCTCATATTCACAGTAAATTTGTCTGTTGGAATAATTGTATTTCTTTATTTTTTTAATACCACAATGCCAGCCATTTTGACCATAAGGAAACAACAGTGGATATTGCAATGGATCATAACATCCATAGTAGTAATTTACCAATTGACTTCTGTTACTATGAGTGTAAATTCTAATATGTGGTGTGGAAATTTTATCATTTAATTGATCATCAATCCAAATTGCCCCAACTTCGGATGCAGCTGGTAAGTTATGTGTTCTCTGGTCTAAATTGGAACTTGAGTTTAGAGCAATATAAAATTCAGATAAATTTGGAAGAGCTGTAAGCGATCTTAAAAAAGTAGAATAAGGATTAACTTTTAGTAGATCTATGAGCTTTGTAACAATTATCTCATTAAGATTATCTGATAATTCCATTCGGTTTGTTTGCTCATTTTCATTATCATATAAATATAATTGTAAATTTTTTCCTTTTCCTCCTGAGGGTATCAAATCGACAATGAAGTGATACATTTGTCCTTGGACTTTAAATGTATAGATGCCACGATATCTCCTTGATAATTCTCTATCATAATTTACTGTGAAGTGAATGCAAACATATTATTTTAGGCTCTACCATAAGTTCGAAAATGTTGGGATTCTTTGGAGTCACCTAAGAACAAATTTCGCAACTCAATAGGCATGTTATGAGAAGTTAGCCTAATTGATCCATTATTACTACAAAAACCTGGTGATTCATATTGAAATCTTTTTGCAGCACAAAATTTGCAATTTGGAATTTTCTTTAAAAGTAAGTAACCTTTTATCAATAAATTATCATTTTGTAGATTTACTTCTAACTTATTTCTACCTGTGCATGGTAAAAAGCAATTATTTGTTACATAAAGGCATATAGTGTTTTTTTACTATGGTAGAGAGAAGCATACCTCTATTTGAAGTACGACTTGAACTTGATCTACTTGCAGCATAAGATGCACTCGACGTTGATCCTAGTATCAGGAATAAAAATATTTAGACACAGTTAGCCAATTATTAAAAATCAATATAGTCAAAATAGTTTAAGTAATATTTCTGAACTGACCTACTTCAAAGGTAGATAAGCAATTAACTATACTTTCTCCTCTAGTTGAAGTAACTGGTAGGTTTAAAGCTTCAGAAGCTTCAACTACATAATGTGGAAAATAACTTTAGTAAGAGTAGTTGAGCTGAAGCAGCTAACTATAGCTGTAGATATTGAGAAGACAGATTGAAGGAAAGGAAGGTAACAATATGGTTAGCTAACCTTCTTGAGGAAATAACAAAGAAGTGCCGATTGTAAGGGCGCCAGTACTATTTAATTGATGTTCTCCTATAGTTAAATTAACTGGTAGATTTGTAACTTCGAAAGATTTAACTACAAAATGAGGAAAAAACCTCTAGTAAGAGTAGGTGAGATGAAGGGTCAAACTATATCTATAGATATTCAAAAGACGCATTTCAAAGTTGGGACTATAAAATGGTGACCAAGACGATTTCATCTGATGGTTGAAAGAAAACTTCAAGTATTTTGGCAACCAATGTGATTATTATTAACATAAAAACCATAAAAGAGACTTATAATCATCCAAACCTCAACATATTGAGGAAAAGTAAAAACATGTAATTACATAATTTTGCCAAAAAACGACTACACCTACTTGGCTTTTTTGTATTATTGAACATTATATTGTTTCACCCATTTCTCTATTAATTGTGTTCACTATCTCTGTATACTGCATATGCACTCCTTTGAAGTGTTTCCAATTCCTTACTTTCCTCCCCACATAGCTGCTATCACTTGCTTCTTCAAACTCTTCCAATGTTTTATCTTGATCATTTCTACTGTTTCCTTGGAACCTCTTGTAGGTAGACTGACTTTTATCCATTCAGTTGTTGTATCTCTTACTTTTGTAGCATATTCACATTCAACAAATAAATGATTGCTTGTCTCCATAGTTTAATCTTGGCGCATACAACATGAACTGTCCTCTACATGTATATTTTAGATGGTATATTTTAAGGAAATATTGATTATATTAGAGGAGAACATAGAGTTGCAGCTTGTGATTCATCCCAACGACTCAGAATCATTTACTACTGTGGTAAGGACAAAATGTCTCTGGCAGCAACATAAAATTATTTATATGAGTGTAGAATTATCAAAGCTTTGTAAAAGAGCATTTCTTGGAAGAATTAAACAACATGTAATGACTTCCAGAATTAATACTTGACATGTAATGAACTGAACAATTTTTTTATACCTATTTCTAAGCAAATGTTGTTATAATGATATGATATTTTTCCCACAAATAAAATGTTGGGCCTCCTACGGCTCAGAAGTGTTTATTTGTAATTGACAAACCATTCACTTAGCAGCAATATACACAAATAATTCATATATAATCATATAAAAAATAGAACAAAGTACAATATGGAAACCAAACTCTTAGCAGATCAAACGAAGTAAAGGCGGAGGAGAAGCAACTCATGTGAACTGTGAAGATTCGATAACCCCCAACCCAATAGGAAAATTTCAGCTATTATTTCTCAAAAGTGCTCTAGGCATCCATTATGTTTGATCCTATACGTGAAAATTACTAACAGAATTTTGGTTTTTTTTACAACAGATTTACGTAAAATATGGTTAGCTAACCTTGTTGAGGAGATAACGAAGAAGTGTTGATTGTAAGGGCGCCAGTACTATTTGATCGATGATGTCCTGTAGTTAAAGTAACTGGTAGGCTTGTGGCTTCAGAAGCTTCAACTACAAAATGAGGAAAATAGCTATAGTAAGAGTAGTAGCGTCTAACTATAGTTTTAGATATTCAGAAGATAGAAGGAAGATAAGAATATGCTCAGCTAACCTTCTTGAGGCGATAATGAAGAACTACTGATTGTAAGAGCGGCAGTAGTATTTGATTGATGAAGGTGTTTTTGTCTTTTTGACTTAGCCCTTTTTTCTCTTAGCTCGGATAAAAATAATTGCTTTCTCTCTGGTGACATCTGTGCATATCTGGTACGACGACGCAAATTTCTCTCAGAAGTTCTTTCTTGGGCAGACACATTATCTCTATTTTCTTCCATTCCTGTTTCAATTATTTCATGATTTGTCAAACTAATTTACAATTTAATGCAATATGGAAAAAATACATACATAAGTGGGACAAAAAGGGAATACATTGAGAAATATCAATGCAGCGTTCACGAAAATAAAAATTAGAATGAGAATAAGACAAACAAGCACAATTATTTAACTAATAACATTTAGTTTTACAGAGGCAAATATTGAGATATCGATAATCTTTAAATGTAATGACAGCTAAAACAATGAAAGGGGAAGAACTTGAAACATTATTTAAAAATAAGAAGCAAATTATCGTTAAAATGCGCAACTATTATACAAACACCTCTTCTTCTCCCTAAAATTCTAAACAGAAATGTTTAAACAAATATTTTGTTGAAATTAAAATCTATAGGCACCCATTCCTTAACTAATGTTATTAAAAATTGGCTCAAGGTCAAAAAATATCACTTCATAGCTAAAAGCATGAATAAGATGCTATTGAAGGTAAAACGGATGCCAACAACTTATAGTATTGATAAAACATTTTGACTTTTAGGAGTTGAATCATTATGGCAGAAACTTGGTTCTCTTTTTTCATGGACTAGGAAAATTTAACAGCAAACAAGTTGAACTAACATGATTATTATAATGCGTACCTTTATAATTCCATAGTACATATCACAAACACGTTTAATAGACATGAATTAATTTAGTATATACTTATCTAACACCATTGTATGTAGTTTTGTCTGGAGTTGTTTCTGGTTTCATTTTATGCATTTATGCAATGAATGGCATTCTCGTCAAGGTTTATGTTTATTAAGGTTAACTTAACTATATACGCGTCTACTTTTCTCCAAATGAAGCCGATTTACATGTTGATTACTCAAGCTAATTTGGATTTCGATATGCATGACAGTCATTAACTGTCTTATATAAGGCGCAATTTATCTTCTTAAGATGGTCTGTTGATACATTATTATGGGTCCTTTCAGTAGGTTGTTCTGAAGTTTCCTCCCTCGGTGATTGATGGTTGCACCTAAGCAAAAGTGGAGTTCAGAAGAAGAAGCTGCCTTTAAAGTTGGGAAGAATTTAATGGAGTATTGTGTTTGCGTTCAAATGTAGATCTCAAAGTAGGGTTCCTTCTATATTTTTTTTCATTAGATAATTATATTTAGTGCAGAGGAAGTTTGGATGTTATTTGAACCAGATATAGTTGTGAGGTCCAGTCTTAATTTTAGTTTCCTATCAATGCATGTGGTGTTAATATGCTTTCCTATTCATACTTATTGATGTTGTTCAGGACAAGTGGAGGAACATGACTGTAATGGCAAACGGTCGGGGTTCTCGGGAGCAAGCAAGATTGGCTGTAATACCATACATAGAGTATTCAATGTTTTCATTGTAGAAATAATGTAGGAATGCATGCAGTGCATCTCTAGCCACCAATAGTTTAGCAAAAATGCAGCAATCCTTAAGCCTCAACTTCTGTCCAAAGTGCATCATTCGTAGCAGCAATATTTTGAAAAAAACGCAGCAGTTAGCTAACTTTAAAGTGCAGCAAAGTTTAGCCAAATATATAGGCAAACCAATGGCTCAAATATATCCAAAAGTGTAGCAAAATTTAGCTCGACACATAGAACTTGTAGACTGAAATTTGATCAGAAATGTAAGAAATAGCTTAGTCTAAAATTCCGCAGCAATACAATACAAAATAAGCAACCCATGGTTTAAATACATCAAAACGACGGAGCAGCATGGAAGTAACTTCACGGTTGAACAGTATGTCAGGCTTTGTTGTGAGGACATAGTACGAGTTCATTACTTTATCCTCTCCTCGGGTTCAGTTCAAAATGTACAGAGGTTGTTGATATACTTAAGCCGAACCTAAGAATTTTAAAATCTGTTGTCTACAAAAAATCTTAAACTATAAATCAATTTTTAATGTATTAAAAAAACTGTAAAATTAAGTTATTGCCACTGTTAAATTGTTCACATAAATATATTTTGACAACAGCAATGTCATACCAAGTAAATAATATAATGAAAACACACATGGCCAGTGCAATCACAAAATCGGAAACATTTTTACAAAAAGTCTTGAATTAACATACAACATAGGAAGGAAAATGATGGATGGACAATAGATAGTAAGAGAGAAATGAACAACCTGAAATCTTCTGATATAATTATATTCACATAGATCTCTTTGATGCCAGATCAAGCAACGTGCGGAAGAGCTGTTGCGGATACAGGGGAGGTTGCTCTGAAAGTGCCTAAATACAACAAACACGATAATTTCAATCGTTGAAGTTTTACTTATTCGAATTGCTCACTGAACCCCCCCCCCCTTTTTTTTATATATCTATGACATTGTATATAGTCCTCTTGTGGATGATTACAAATTGCATAAAGTTGGTCCAAAATTGAAAATATATGTGGTCATTGAAGAAGAAGCAGATACATCACCTGATGAATGAAAATGGTGGAAGGAGTCATTCGTGGAACTATATTCACTTCGATAATCAGTACTTGTGACCGCAAAACAACCATACCCCCAATTAAATCTTATAACACATCAGCAAATAGTTATCTTATTTACATTAATTCTATCAATTGTATGGCATGTTAAGTGTTGCAGTTTGCAGAAATCCATTTATTAAGTTCTGATCTCCTCAAGTTCTACTACTGAATTAACTCAACAATAAATATTGCCTCTAAAATGATACTTTGGCCCCAATTCAACCGCAAACGACCAGTTTCGACAGGTGATTCAACCTCTTATATTTATCTTGTATCAACTTAATTGGTTCTACAGGTATACAGAAATAGAGCATAAAAACGATGAATACTTTGAAAATTTTAGTAGAGTACTACAGCCTTCTAAACCACATGGTAAATCTCTGTGCACTCGTATAATTAACATGAGTGTGTAACAAGTATCTCAAGAGGCACATCATGAACTGCAACTTGCTGGAAAAGACACATTTCCTTAATGATGTTATTAACTATTAATTATTAGATTCACTTCCATTATTGTTCAATCAACTGAAAAGAATCTCAGCAATAACATACCTCGCCAGTGTCAGCATGAACAAACGCATCAATACGCGAAAATCCTTCTAGTTATAGAGTGTTTGCAATAAGTTCAATACGCTTTTTACACCTTTCCAAGGCCGCAGTGCTAATTGAGAAGGAAAAAAAAGAAGGAAGTAATTGTGAGAAATATGTAGGTAATTTTGACACACAGAAAAGTACATCTTGTAAAGAACAATATTCTGGCTTTCTAAATAACTATTTTTAAGTAGAAATGTATATTGACATAAATCTGGTAGTCATATCTAATACAGTTTCCACAGGATGAATCTTCATAACAAACTTCATAATAGAAGGTTAAGGTGGAGTCAGATTGATGCCAGTTATAACAACACGCTTTTTGGGGTCTGTTTCCCTTGATGAGGCTGAAACTGTAGTGGATGAAGCTGAGATAAAAGGGGTTCTTTTGGGTCTCAATGGCTTTACATTGGTGAATTGGGGTATGGTTTTGAGAAATGGGTCAACCGGAGATGGCCGGAGAGATGAAGATTGGATAGGTTGCATGGTTACCGGCGGAGAAGGAAAGATGTAGATGGTGGAATTTCGATGACAACAATGTGGATGCAGGAAAGGCTTAAAACTACTGACAATTGTTCTATCAAATCACAATATATATATATATATATATATATATATATATATATATATATCACCCTACCAATATTAGAGTCAATTATCACCTTAATTATGTGATAAACAAAAGCTTTTAATTTTTATTTACTAAGATCACCTGCGAAGCTTTTAATACTACAAACTAAATAAGCACATAGGAAAAAAAAGGTGGAGTAGTAATTTGGACAAAGAAGCTACATGAACCTCACTGGTATCTTAAGAAATACATATACAAGTAAATTAAGATGGTAATAAAAATACAAAGGTTAAGTAACTTGGAGAGGAGAAATACATATCTTTCATTGGTAGAAATCTTCAATATCAAGAGTTCAATCATATTATAATTCCAGATGATAAAATATATTATCATATTTGAGTTATAGGTAATTGATTTTGAGTGGTATAATTATTGTGGGTTCTAATGTTTCTTGGAGCCTAAAATTTCTTGCAGTGAATAAATCCTTTCAAACAACACCGGAAAAAGTTGACAAAGATTTGTTAGACGTTTGCAGGAGATAGAACATTTAATTGTAATCAAATGAAAGCAACAAACTACCTTTCAGGTCCTAGATAAAATGAAGAAGGTGAACTTTGTTTTTCTTGCTTAAATCTAAAACAATATTTTCGAACAAATTAATAAGAGATGATACAAATATGCAGAGTGTTTGTATTTGCCTTAAGTCATCAGCGGCAAAACAAGGAAAAGATTGAACACAAGAAGAAGCTCTTTGTTGATATCGATGGAAAACTATCAAGATATGATTACCACATGAATTAACTAATAAGATTATAATGCAAAATATGATTGATATCTAGACAGTTGCTAATTACCAACTTAAGTTCCTTGTCGAGAAAAATAGAGATTATGTCCTCGCTGAATCCTTTTTAAAATACATTTAACAGAGAGTGGCTAACGTTTACCATATATTGATCAACAACCAAGTGACGATCTGTTGACTACTTGTCGCCCTACCAATATTTGAGTCAATTATCACCTTAATTCTGTGATTAATAGAAGCTTATGTACAAGCTTATAAGTTGAGAAGATGAACAACCTTTGTTGAAGCATTCAAATTTGAAGAGCAGAAACAAAACACACCAAAATAATCTCATGGCTACAAGAATGAAATCTGATGCTGCATGCAAGAACAAAACAATAATTTGTTCAAATTTAAGCTCAAAAAGATTGTTATCTGAGTTGTATTCTACACCTCTTCTTCTCTCTAATTTCTGACCACTATGCGATAAAACCTCTAATTTGTATTATCTGGACAGCAACATTGAAGCGAAATTTGAGGAGAAATGGAGATTAATGGAGAGGAATTGTGGCGGAGAAATCAATGTAGAAGCAAATGTGGAGGAGAAGCAAAGAAGGAAAGAAGTAAAGTGGATAGACAATAACGAAATTACCCATCTTCCCTTGTTCATGCTGCACAAATGTCCAAATTTAATGATAAAATTACATAATTATCCTTGTTAAATAAAAGAAAATATATATTATATATTTAAAGTACAATTTAAATAGCTTTGGGAACAGCTTTTTAAAGCTGTATTTTTTGTCCTTAAAGTTGTGTTAGTCATATTCAAAGTACAATTTAAATAGCTTTGGATACAGGTTTTTAAAGCTGTGTTGGTCCTTTCAACTCCCTCTTCTAAATAGGGGAAATGTCAGCTTAAATTGTGTTGAACTATTCAGATTTTAAAAATTTCTTAGCCCACTTCAAAGTTTTGGGATTATAAAGAAAAAGGAGTGTATGTAGCAAAGGTAATTGAAAAAAAAACTAAAATCATACAAGTACTGGTAATGGCAGCGTAACATATAAAATGACTATGTATACACAAACCAATAAAAATGATCCTTTATGCATACAACAAAAGAAAAGTCATTGAAAAAGAAATCACAAAAAAATAAGGGGATAAACAATTAATGGACTGCATAAATTAAAAAGTAGATAAAAAAAAATATAAGGTGAGAACTACCAAAAATAGTACAACTACACACATACCAAAAAAATGAAAAATTAAAAAATTAAAAAAAATACAGTAAATAGAAAATGACAATACACTAATTTAAGTATAACAAAGTGTATAATATTTATCAGAAGAATACACCACGATAACTATAAATAATCGACATACAATATAGAAATATATATATAACAAGAAAAACAAATAAACAATCATTAAAATAGAACAATAAATACTAAATTTATAATATAGAAATCACACAACCTAAGAGAATTAACAAAAGTATTCAAACAAAAAACAAGTGAAATCAACAGAAGAATAATATAAAATATAACACAAAGATGCATAAGAAAGTAAATAAAGATAAGATTTCACAGAAAGAAAAACAAAACCGACAATAAATAACATCAATACACCTTATAACGTAAAAAATCCACTTTAATCATAATAGGTCACACCAATAGCTAAGGAAAACAAATATAATATTCAAAAGATGATTAACATGTAGTGATCACGACAAGACATGCTTCCTATGACCCCCCAAAAATTACATTTTTGGTGATATTTAAAGGAACACGATTAAACAAAATCCAACTTTAGAAGAAAAATAATAACAACTAGAATAGTACAAAAACAGAAATCAAACTCACGAAGTTGAGAACAGTGTCAACTAAACCAAATGATGGTTGGGAGATCTTAATATTTAGCCGTGAGCCAAGTCAATACATAATATCGACAAAGTACCATGAAGGCATATATAATTTTAGATGGAAATGTGAATTAAATTTTATGCTCTCCACTTTTCTAGAGGGAGATGGAGGATAAGAAGTCTTCAAATTTTACCAAAACACTGAACCATCACAAAAGGACACAACTAGTCTAATAGAGGATGACATCTCGCCATGGATTAAATGCCAAGGTTAAGAAGTAAACATTTCTTAAAGCTAATATAAGAAAGTAAGATGATAAGAGTAACACAGAGTGGTCGATCTAACATGAAAATGTTTCAACATTTACCGCTGCAAAAAACAACAGAGGAGACAAAATACTGAATCTGCCTATCCTTGTTTTCAACGATACAACAACAAGCAAACTCAAACTAGATTAAAAGCGCACATAACAGAACAAGCATACTTTGAAGTGAAACAATCAAGGCGAAGAAAAGAGACTTTACCTCCTTTGGGGCAGCGAATAGAACTAGACAAGCTAAACGGAAAACGACTTCCACACGACCATACACACGAGAAAAGAACAGCAAGCTCGAGGAAAATATCGATCCCAACTGAGCTCGGAAGGAATGTTGGAAGTGAAATAGAACAGCGGAAGTGGAATTAGAATCCGCTATCCTCTCTGGTTACTTAACGTATTTAGTATGTATTTTAACTACCTTGCCTATTTTTTGTTCTAAAGTTTGATGCTAAATTCCTCAGCCAAAAAATGATCGCTCATGCTTTTCTTCCCACCTAAATAAAATCTCTAAAAAAAATTCTTTTTTTTTCAATTTTGTTTTTCTATCCCCAAAAATCTCTTATTGAGGTTTCAAAAGAAAACCTCAACTAAAAGAGAAAAAAAAACTTCAATTCGAAATTTCTTTCAATCCCTTACTCGACTATTCTACTGAAAATTTCCTAAAATACCAAAAAAATAAACCCCTCCCAAAAGTCCAAAAAAAGAACCCCCCCCCCTCTAACAGTGGATCTAGAAAAGAATTATATAGCTGAGAAATTAGGGTTCCGAATTTCTGTGGAATACCGGATAAACCCCTGGTCTTACCCCAAAAAGAAATTCAAATCCTTGCACCAAAAAGGGGAGGCCACCTTTTCTAGGGGATTTTAACTAATTCACAAAGAGGAAAAAGGAAATTGATGCCTCAGATCAATTTGTTCGTCCTCTGGACCTTGCGTGGCTCAATCTCACGACACCAGGGCGGAAACGCGTGCCCCCGCCTGCTGCTTTTTGTTGCTAGTCGTACACCATGAGAGGGGTGACGAGGAAGAGGACAACGAAGAACAGGCTGTTCTCTGTGTCTCTGTGATCCAGTTTTTGGATTGGGGAAATAAGGGGAGAAAATGCGGTGGACCAGGTCAAGAATTTGGCTGGGTTTGAATGGAATCAGAGGGGAGATGGACTGCCGAAAAATAAGAGGCCCAAAATGGTTTTTGTATAAATAGATTAAATACTTAGTAACTAGATGAAATTAATCAATAAAACTCAATTAAAATAAGTTTCTTGATTTTAATGAAATAAAATAGTCAATGAAATTATGACATTATTAAGTCAAAAATGCAAACTATTATATGGCTAATAAAATATTTAAACACAATAAAATCTTTTTGGAGACGAATTTTCAAATAATCCTAAAATATACTAGGTATATACATAGCTACGTTAATCATATATTATCTAGAAATTATAAAAGTAGTAATATTAACTTAGAATAATTCAAGAGCCACTTTATTATATGTACATGTATATGTATGTATGTATATATATATATATATATATTCTTTGTTAAACCTTATAAAATCTATTTTTTTTCAAGTCGTTTAGAATTAACAAGCTCGTTAATTAATTATATCGTCGAGGGTCAAAATCGGGTGTCAACACCAGTTTCAGAGAGAAACAAGATGAAAGCTAAAGATATCACATAGACTATAACATAAATTTAAAGTATCTCGAATCTCATACAAAACACAACTCAAATCCAAACGTCTACTAGAATTTGAATAAATAAAAGGGCTGAGTGTTATTTACCTCTTGGTGAGCAGCGACTGAGACAACAACGAATCTAGTAGAGACTTCCATAATTCGAAGGAGAGCTTTCAACAGAAGAACGTGAGAAATTTTTAAATGGAAGTTTTATATCGAAAATCATTTTATCCGTAAAAATAGAAATCAACAACTCTTCTATGAATTTATATCACTGTATTATGCTTCTATTCTTCTAATTTTTTTAACCCCCTATTTTCCAATTCCTTTTTGCCAACTTATCAAAAAAGATGAGGGAACTATTTACAGATGAATCCTAGGGCAGAAATGGGGGAAAATTCCGGATGGATTTTCAGTGAATTTGAAATTTAAATTGGAGATAAGGTTTCAACAGCTAGAAATAGTGCATATTCCAAGCGGATTCAAAGAGGAGACTATCGATTTGAGGAGCAGGGACAATCGAAGCAACACGATGGAGACTCCTAGAAGATTCGAGGAAAGGACGACTCGAGAGAGGGACGCGGGGGTCAGTCATGTTCAATTTTCCAAATTCGCGTATGTACTTCACGCGGAGAAGAAGATTAAGGTGCAAGGGTCGGGTCACGTTTGGTTGAACTGATTGGCTCTTTGGGCTTCTTTTTAATGGGAAATAAGAGAATGAAATTGGTCTTGCAAAAAATTATGAAGTAGGTTGGTGGAGTAAAGAATAAGCCCAAAAATGTGGTCTCAAATGTGTTTAAAGGATATGACGAATACCCAAATAAAATGAAATAATATAAATTAATAAACGAGTTTTCTTGGTCATAATGAAATAAATAAATAAATTTAATTACAAACTTAATAAATAAAAAATATAAACTATTATATAAGTAGACTAATTAACAAAATTTTGATTTAAACTAAAATCTTTTATTAGAAGATTGCAAATATTCTTTAAAAATACTATTTATATACATAATTATTTAAAACATATATATTATATTTAAAAGTTATTAAAAAAGAAGTGACAAAACTATTCAAAATAACAACAAGCTTTATATATTTTTTCTTTAACTTTTATGAAACCAATTATTTTAATTCGTTTGAAATCAAAGAAGCTAAAATTAATTAATTTATTTTGTGGAGGACTGAAATTGGGTTTCAACAATTGTCCATCATTTTACTTGGATTGATGCAAGAAATTCTAGATAAATAAAATTAACTTATTCAATTTTGACGGACCTCATCTCCATTTTTGGAAAAATGACTTTAGGAATTATAGTCGACCCCAAAAGTGGGGTTCCTACATATCTCAGGCTATATGAGAATTCAGGCCACTTTAGTTCAATATTGCTTGATTTGACACACGATTAAGAATGAATTCAAAAGTTATTACGATATTAAATTATGGAGAGATCAAAATGCTTGGGAATAAGATTTTAAAAAGAATGTTAGAATAATAGCCGAGTTTTTGATATTGAGCCCGACTACATATCCTTAAACCTTAGGAATCAGGTTGTTTGTAGTTCGGATCGATCAATTGAAAAGAAGATCTATTATGCTAGATAACCTTTGGTTCTGGACAAGTAACAAATTGAGTCGAGTATTCCAAAGGAGGCTTGTAATATGTTAAACATGAATGTGGCACTTCACACCCATAATTGAGAACTTACACGGACATAATTTCCAAAAATCTTGGTGCATTGTCACTCGGATTGGGAAATCGCTGCTTGTGAACATTAAGATTTTTTCGGATGCAAAACTAAAACAAAAAATTTTAAGAAAAACCCACATGCCTTCTGATAGGGGTATGACTTTATTGTGGTGGAAGTCGCTCCTCAACTCGCGTCCTAAGAGTTTTAAACTCTCATCGAACTATGTCCCAATTTGCTGCTGAGAAAAAGTTCCACATTGTGTTGCATTCTTGTTGATATCTTCCGCGCATGTGGTTTGATTAAAGATTTCTTCCTCTTGGATGATGTCGACAAGACTGAAACAACTTGTTAATAGAATATGTAAATGATAAAGTGGTAGTATCTCTTAAGATGCTTTTCAGTTACTCTTGATGTGAAAGATGTCACCTAAGTATTTAAGTATATGCCGCTTTCGAACACAATATGTCCATTACATCACATGATTTTCTAAAGATTTTGAGATGTCATTTCTTGTTTTTGTATGGAAAACTCTAGTGATCTCTGCAATGAGCTAGATGTCTAAATGATTGTCCAACTGTAACGAGGTGGATTAATCGATAAAACTCAATATTTAATGAGGTAGATGCTCGATAATATTACATTTGTAATGAGGAAGATGCTCGATAATATTCCATTTATAAAGAGATGGATGGATCGATAATATTCCATCTATAACGAGGTGGATGACTCGATAATATTCCATCTGCAACGAAGTGGATGACTAGATAATAGTCCAAATGTAACGACGTGGATGCTCAATAATATTTCAATTGTAAAGAGGTGGATGCCTTAATAATATTCCATCTGTTATGAGGTGAATGACTCGATAATAGTCCAGCTGTAACGAGGTCGATGCTCAATAATACTCCATTTGTAACAAGGTGGATGGCTCAATACTAGTCCAACTGTAATAAGATGGATGCTTGATAAAATTCCAAATGTAACAAGGCGGATGCATGATAATAGTAAATCTGTAACAAGATGTATGACTCGATAATATTCCACTATAATGAGGTCGATGCTCGATAATATTCCATTTGTAATGAGGTGGATGGCTCGATAATATTTTAACTGTAACAAGGTGGATGCTAAACAATCGTCGAATTGTAACAAGGTGGATGTTTGATAATAGTCCATATGTAATGAGGTGATGAATCGATAATATTCCACTGTAACGAGGTGGATGCTCGATTATATACCATATATATCAAGGTGGATGGGTGGATAGTATTCCATCTATAACAAGGTGGATGTTCGATAATAGTCCAACTGTTACGAGGCCGATGCTTGATAATAGTCCATCTGTAACGTATATGCACGCAGCGACTATGATTCTCTTTGATAAAGATAAAATTATCAAGGTAAATAACTTATTTCAGTCACAAGAAGATTGTCTTCCTTGATAAACTCAATAAAATTTAAGTTTGTTTCCGATAGCTTCAACTGTTAATTAAAACTCATAATTATTCAATAACTTCAATTGTCATTGAGATAATCTTGTCACCAACATCTTTCTAACATGACAGACTCGTTAATTTTTCCTTTGAACAATTCTAAGATAGTGCCCCTTTTGATCATCTTCTGATTTGGTGTCGATTTCACATATGGTTTTGACTTTATCAATGTTATCACCAGAAAAGCTCGACACCAACATTAGTATTGATGATGAAGTAAAAATAAAAGTAAATTTGAAAAACTAGATTGAATCATTTGGTTTTTCGACATTAGGCTATGATGATCCCAGTTATAACTTCGATCATGACTCGTAACTAGCGATCATCCAACACATTGTTTCTTACAACTTTGAAAGAATCTATTAGTGTTTTGTTTCAATGTTCCTGCTATATAAAAAGAAACTTTTTTATAAATCACTTTAGGTAACATCATGAAATGAAGATAAATTTAGATGGAATGTTTTCTAGTTATGCTAATGAGACCACGAGAGACGTATATGATGTCTTTTTTCATGCCTGATAGCTTTGACAGGTTCTATGTTTTTCCTGCATTCCAAGAAAAATTCTTAGTTTAAAAGATTGATTTGTGTTGATCTTTGTCTCCGTGCTCCTTTTTGCAGTTGGCTTACAGGTTCGTCCGTCCTTTGTAAGACAGTCTTGATGGAATTTTTGAGTACCTCCTAAAAAATTCTGTCTCGGTCAGAAATATATATATATAACTCTCCTAACTTGCTTTGTTAATTTTGAGGTTGCTCATTCAAGAATTTTGAGGCCCCTCCTAAAAATTCTATCCCAATTTGCCTCAGTAAGTATAATACTTTCAACAAAGGACATTGTTGTGTGGAATTTTGATATCAACTCAATATATTTGTCTCGGCTGCACATTTCGACACGATTTCCAACCTGATTTTTCATAACATGCCATCTTGTTGAGTTTTTGAGATCCATCCAAAAAGTCTACCAAGTTGTATTTTGACATTTCAATCTTTACTTGTTGAAGAAGTCCATCTTCAAATGAGTTTTAAAGATCCTCTCAGTAATTCTTTCCCAGTTTTCATTATAATGAGAAATAGAAATCTTACTAAGTATATCACCGAGCCGCTGTGGCGCCAATGTATTTCGTTGAGGCAGGAATCAGGTCAAACTTAGTTCCCATCTCAAGGATTAACCAAAATAGGAAATTTTTATAAGGAAACGACCGAATCCGACATAGGCCGTCTAAATATCTCATTCTTGATAAATCTGGTTCGAAGTAATTTATTACAAAAAATATGTGATAAA